TAAGAGAGAAGAAGAGAGGGAGGGAGTAGGGGAAGGACAGACAGACAGTGTAAGAACAGTATCACTAACCTAACCTAACCTAACCTAACCTAACCAAAATTAATTCATTCTGACCAAAATTACCCTAAGATCTATTGGTTAGGTTAGGTTAGGTCAGGTTAGCGTCCCATGATAAATAAATAACTCGTCCGTTGAGTTGCTCTTAGGACGGGGGGGGGGGCACTAGGCCATCCTGACGTACCAACAACATAGTCCCCCGTCCACACTAAGGCCCCCGTTTTCTATTTACTCCCTTGATTACGTCGTTTTCTTAGCGCCATAATAAAGACCTTCGCTAAAAGTTTTATGTTAGTGGTGCTCTTTGTTGCTGCGCTGCCTAGGTGGGGTGGGGGGAGGGTGGGGGGAGGGTGGGTGTTTAGGGTAAGGGCGGAGGGATTGTGGGTGGTGAAAGGAGAGAGGGTGGGTGAGGATGTGGAGTAGCGAGGTAGGGAAAGGATAAGGAGGAAAATGACCCTCTTATTCATATTATTCTCTCTCTCTCTCTCTCTCTCTCTTTCCTCTTCCTTTCTCCTACTCTCCTCCCTTCTTACACTTCCTCTTTCCCTCCTCCCACCTTCCTACCCCTTTCTCTCCCTCCTTCCCTCTTACCCTTCGTCAATTGTTCCTCCCTTCCTACCTCTTACTTTCCCTCCCTCCCTCCCTCCCTCCCTCCCTGTCCTTCCTCCCTCCTACCCCTTACTTTCCCTACCTCCTACCCAATACTTTCTCTCCCCTTCTTCCTTCCTTCCTCTCTCCTACCCCTTACTTTCCCTTCCTCATTTCCTTTCTCCCTCCTACCCCTTACTTTCCCTTCCTCCTTCTCCCCCTGGCGGGTTTTTACGATTACACTGTCATCAAAAACTTGGGGCAGGAATCATGAAGTTGACTGAACTGTCCAGTGATCACTCCTTCCTCCACTTTCTACTACGCCTTTGTCTTCTCTTCTCTTCTTATGAGTACCTTTACCTCTCCTCTTCTTCCTCGTTTATTCCCAACTTCTCATCACCTATATTTTCTATTCTTACCTCCCAACTTCATTTTTCTTCTTCCTTTTATTCCTGTTCTCATCTTCGTTTTCGCTGCCTCTTCTTCTTCTTCTTCTTCTTCTTCTTCTTCTTCTTCTTCCTCTTCTCTTCCACGTTAATCTCTTTACTTTTCAATTTAAAAAACGTATCTTTTCAGGTTTTAAATTGGCCTTGATACAACCTGAGAACCATTTATCTCTCTCTCTCTCTCTCTCTCTCTCTCTCTCTCTCTCAACAGGTCTTTTTTTCGTCTTTATACTCCTTATTTCTATCTCTGTCTCTTTCCAAATCCCAGGTAATTTTTTTATCTCTCTCTCTCTCTCTCTCTCTCTCTCTCTCTCTCTCTCTCTCTCTCTCTCTCTCTCTCTAAAGGCAACTGGGATGATAATTTTCTCTCTCATCTTTTTAAATTTAATGAAAAAAAAAATTGCCCAGCTCATCACGACAGGCATTCAGGGTGGGATTAAATCGGACACATCTTTGAAGCTGGTCAGAGCTCCCTTCTAATTTTCAGGAATCCGGCAATATCACTTCATCAGCAGTGGAGCAAGACGTGATGGGTGTCACGACCCGCGCCACACCACCGTCTTCTCCTGAATTTCCGGGTCTGCCCATTCCTCCGGTCCGCTTGAGTCTGGGAACCTTGGAATAAGTGAGGAGTACTGTCGAATACGGTTCATAGATGGCGTTGGTAAATGTTATTTGTATACAAGGGGAGTGTGCTATAAATATCCCCTCTGGATAAGACAGTAATAGTTTCAAATACAGCACATACAGTTGATGGTGCTTACAAAGTTAGTTTTTTGCTGGAGGATGTTTGTTGCTAGTGTCACCTCTGGGTAAACCATTATTAGTGCCGAATACGTTTCACAGATGGCGCCGACAACATTAGTTTTGTAAGGAGGAAAGTCTCAGCTCTAGGTATGCCAACAATTGAGATAGATAAAGCACGTAGAGGCATTAATAGTGTTATTTTTGTTTTCGTCTCAAGATAAATATTTAAAGTGATTGTTCCGGGTAAGAAGTAGTAATGATATATATGTATCATAGATGGCGCTCATAACTTAACTTCAATGGCAAGGAAAATATATAATGGAAGCCACTCGAAATCGAGAATGGCCGGCCCAAGGGCCTCCTAGGCGTGAATTTGTTAAGGTGTAGAAGCTGTAGCCAACACAACAACCACACCCTAAGTTAACGAGCTGCATGACACAGTGTCACGGAATAGTCCGAGAAGACTGGACAACTCGCCAACTGCACTGGCTAACCATTACCCCGAATACGATCCGCAAATCGATTAATATCCAGGTCCCCAATTACTGCTGGGTAGACAGAGGCAAATGGCGTAAAGAAACTCACCCATAATTTCACCCTGCCCGGGGATCGAATTTGGGTTCGCTCGCTTACGAGGCGAGGACGCTGACCATTACACCACTAAAGGAAGAGATTATTATATGGAAGTGAAACTCTTACGATTTTATACATATTTTGTTTTAGGAAGACATTATACACAAAAATAGCATCCAATCTGGGTCAATTAGATTCGTGTTATTGTAAGATTAAATTTCAAATAATATACCTAGATTCTTAGAGATTCTTAAGGGAGTTTTCTTATTGTAAATGTGATACAATAACTCAATGTATCGGGTCGAGTCTCAGGAAAATTCACCTCCATGTTTGAATCCATTATTATGTAGCAACTAAACTGGGTATACAAAATACTTAAGAGTTATAGGGAAAGAAGTTTATTTTTATTTTTTTTGAGAAACGGTTGAATTATATTGATTTATATGAAAACTTATATTAATCCGTATAAGATTTTCTGTATATAATTGTTAGAGATTTTACGATAGTATTATAGAACTTGAAGTCCAGGAAGAGAGAGAGAACGGTAAAGAAAATAGGGATGGAGGGAGAGGAAAATATATAAAAAAGAGAGAGAGAGAGAGAGAGAGAGAGAGAGAGAGAGAGAGAGAGAAAATTAAATCGATTAAAGAAAGAAAGAAAGAAAGAAAGAAAGAAAGAAAGAAAGAGAAAGGTTGGGAGAGAGAAAATGAGTTAACGATCACCACCAATTACATAACCAACATTACCCTTGATAGTCTACAAGCTCTGGGACAATTTTTGGTGGTGGTGGAAACTTAGTGTTGGGCAGTTTTCATGAGGGACACCAGACGCGCCCTCGAAACACGGTCGATTGGTCAAATTTTCATAGAGGTCACAGGTCAACAACCTTTCCTCTCTGACCTAACATTTCTACTCGCTGACGTATTACCTTACCTCCACCTTACCTCACCCTGATCTCCCCTTTATTTCACTATGATCCCCCCCTTACCTCACCCTCATCTCCCCTTTACTTCACTATGATCCCCCTTACTTCACCCCCGACCCTTTTACCTCATCCCGAACCCCCTGACCTCACCCTGATCCCCTTACCTCCCTCTTGACCTCTCCCACCCTCACCCGAACCAATACCCATTACGTCACTTCCAGCCCCCTTACCCCACACCTTACTCCTCCTCACCCACCTGTCCCCTCCTCACCTGCCTCTACCTCCAACTCCAGTCTTTCTCTCCTTACCACCAACCTCCTCACCCCCCCCCCACTCTCAGCCCAAACCTCCTTCACCCATAGTCCTCCTCACCTCACCTCCTCACCCCCCTTACCCCCCACCCACCCCCCCTCTATAATCAGGGTCACGTGCCAGAGGAAAACCTTACCAATTGTCATTCAACTTGGTGGAATTTTAGGAAATTGGTCTGGGGCAAGTTTCCGCCTATCTGACCCCCCCCCTAAGACGCCCACTGATCTTTCCTGATCGTTCTCTAAAATAAAAAGAAAAAGAAAGAAAGATCGTCTTCTCGTTCTCTAGGACTTTGATACCTGCCTTAAGACGCCAGGACTCGTCTAGAAACCCCGTCTCATCTAGAAACCCCACCTCACCTAGAAACCCCACCTCATCTAGAAACCCCACCTCATCTAGAAACCCCCCACCTCACCTAGAAACCCCACACCTCACCTAGAAACCCCACCTCATCTAGAAACCCCGACAAAAGCACCTATAACCATCCGAGTACCTAATCCGTTTTCTAGATACCCCACTAACTAGGCATTTCGACTCTATATACTGTAGTTCGTTTTCTACAAGTTCCATCCCTCCCGGTCTAAAATAATAAGGTTTCTAGGCCTATGGATAAGTCGGGTTCAGATTTTTGGTGTGATTATTTGAGGAATAATTTTAATTTTCATAAGACGGTGTAATGTTCTGTTCAATGTCCCAAGAATTGTCTCTCTGTTTAATGAATCTTGAGTTAGGTAAAGCCGTAATGTCATGGCAGATAGTCAGTTGATAGTGAGCGTTCACCTTCAACTGTTACCTCTTAAGGCGTTCATTACCGCGCGTTCATTACCGTGCGTTTATTACTGTGCGTTCATTGTCGTGCGTTTATTACTGTGCGTTCATTACCGTGCGTTTATTACCGTGCGTTCATTACTGCGTTTATTACTGTGCGTTCATTATCGTGCGTTTATTACTGTGCGTTCATTGTCGTGCGTTCATTACCATTCGTTCATTACCGTGAGTTCATTACCGTCCGTTTATTGCCATGCGTTTATTACAGTGCGTTCATTACCGTTCGTTCACTACCGTTCGCTCATTACCGTTCGTTCAATACCGGTTGTTCATTTGTCATTACCGTGCGTTCATTACCGTCCGTTTATTGCCATGCGTTTATTACAGTGCGTTCATTACCGTTCGTTCACTACCGTTCGCTCATTACCGTTCGTTCAATACCGTTCGTTAATTTGTCATTACCGTGCGTTCATTACCGTCCGTTTATTATCGATTGTGTTCTTGTGCGTTCACTGCTATAGTATTGTCCACCCATAAGCTCACAAATGGATTATTCAGAACGCCCACATCCTCACAGCTCTCACCATGCGTTCTGTTTTCTCTGGATTTGAAACCGAAAACAATCCTCTAGATTTCATATTAAGAGCATTTACTTCAATCCTGAAACCAAAAACGTTCTCTAAATCATCAAACCAAACACGTTCTCTAAATCTTGAAACCAAACACGTTCTATAAATCATCAAACCAAACATATTACCTCTATCCTGAAACCAAAAACGTTCTCTAAATCATCAAACCAAACACGTTCTCTAAATCATCAAACCAAACACGTTCTCTAAATCATCAAACCAAACACGTTCTCTAAATCATCAAACCAAACACGTTCTCTAAATCATTAAACCATTACGAATTCTCCGGCAGCTCCCAAAGCCACTGCAATCCCGACACCTCATCCATCACGAGACGTTTTCTAAATATGAAACCCATAGATCACAGTTCTCTCTCTCAGCCAGCCGACGCCTACCACGACGAGGCTCAGGGCGATAACGGCGCCGTTGCTTGTTTTCTCCGGCTATATATCAAGTAGCAGTAGTAGTGGGGGGGCGAAGTTGCAGGGATCTATTTGTTCCGTAGGGTAAGATAGTGTAGGTGGGGTGGGGTGGGGTGGGGTGGGGGGGTGGGGTGGGGTGGGTGTGTGTGTGAGAGAGAGAGTTGAGGGTAATTTATGTGATGAATAGTGGAAAAGGAGAGAGACAAGAGAGAGAGACAGATTTATAGACCTTCAGATAGGGAAAGAGAGAGAAAGGGATAGAATAAGGGAAAGAGAAGGAAAGAACAAGTGAATAAGAGATAGAGACACACGAAGACACAGATATACTAAGAGAAAAAGAAGGAAATAAAGCCTTAAAAAAAAACCACGTCAAATAAAAAAACCCCCCTCAAAAAAAAAACGTATACAACTTCCTCAACCCGGATGTAAACATACAAGAGATCCCCCCCTCCCCTTAAAGCCACCACAGTCAGCAACTATACGGCCACCACCACCACCACCACCACGGAGGAGGGACCACATCACCCCAGGCCGGCACCCTTGACCGCGTCTTTTGGGGTCCGAGGAAGGTGACCACCACGCCGCCATCACATATCATACCATACTCTCTTGAATATAGTGTAATGTACGTCGCTTGAGTCTATCTGTAGGGTAATATATGTAGATTGAGTATATATTGTATAGTTTAGGTATGCTAAGTTATGTAGTTAAGAGCATAAAACGTTACAACATACTCGTTTAAGTCGTCTCATCATATCTGTTGTGCCTTGTCTGCTGTCTGCCACTTATCATTTTCTTCTCTCCTCGCCTCTCCTCTCCTCTTTTCCTCTTTTCTCCTCTCCTACTTCCTTCCCCCCATACTACTCCATAAAAATCCTTCTCCTACTCCTCCTCTTCTTTACTCCACCCTCTTACCATCCCCTCTGCCTCTTCCGTCATCCTCTCCCTTCCTCCATCCCTCCTCCCTCCCGACACCCCCAGTGATACGGTGGCACGCGTCTTCCACCCTAAAAAAAAAACTCTCTCCCTCTTCCGTCATTCTCTCCCTCCCTCCATCTCTCCCTAACCTTCCCACTCTTTCTCCCTCCTTCCCGACACCCCCCCAACATAGCACGGTGGCTCGCATCTTCTCCCTCCCTCACCCCCTCCCTCCCCCCCTCAGGGACAGTTTAATGCAATTGAATTTTCCCGCCCCACCGAACACGACTGATGTTGGCGCATCTTTTGTGACGGGGCCAATCTCACCCTACCGGCTCAGTTGCTGTGTAGTTTGGCACTCTCGTCTTATTTGACCGTTTGTCAGGGAGCAGATGTCTTATTTGGTTGTCTGTTTGTTGTGTCTTTGTTCTGTGTTGTTGTTGCTGTGATTTTTTTGTTGTTGTTTGGTTTCGTCTGGATCAATGGAATATCTTAGTGTTTGTTTGTTTGTGGATGTATAACTGTTTGTTTCGTGAAATTTGTAGTGTGTCATTTGAATCTTCTTTATCATCTGTCTATCAAGGAATATATATTTTATTTATCTGTCTGTCTGTCTGTATTACCACTCAGCAGTCACGAGTATATACAGGTATACTGAGGTGGGAGAGTTACCATGTCTGTTAGTATATGAACTTTACGCAGACGTTATCATATGTAAACACACCCACAAAACTCCACCCTGTATTACATCAACGATGACGTCATGTATGTAAACAAAGGCGCTCGCCTCGCCCGCTGAATGGTGGACACTTTTCATTCACATTTACTCTGATTGGCTGTCATTTCCTTTTGCTGACTCTCGTATAGAAATATTCATCAGGAAACGAGACCAAAACGACCTCAATTTTTCCCTGTATCGCTTTGATTCTTATTTTCCTCTTAAGAACAGAATCAATGTCCTAGACGTTGGAGAGTGTGTACGAGGTTAGGTTAGGTTAGGTTAGGTTAGGTTAGGTTAGGTTAGGTTAGGTCAGGCATATATGAAAATAATACTTACCCAAAATATTCTTATACAAAGCAGTATCTGAGGTGAAAACTTCAATAAAATAGAAAGATAGAAAATGTATAAAGTTAAATGTAAGACGATGGAAATTCTCTCGGCAGTGAATATCTGTTTATTTTGTCGAGAGTCACACACACACAAACACCATCTACGAAAATACTACCTAACTATCCAATAATATACCTTTCTATTAATACCTAAGACCTACATATATTGACACTTATAAACAAACTATCAATCAACAGAAATTAGAACGCCAGACATTACCTAAATAAATTCCTAATTTTATTCCACATTCGGGATTTTTAAACTCATCCTTATGTTAAATATCAACCATAAGTTTATTCTAATTACAGTACAGTCTTAGTACAAGTTAGACGCCATCTTTATTCCATCATCTTTATACCGTGACTTGAGGCGTTTTCACTTGAACAGTTAAGAGAGAAAATTGAACACGAACCTTTGAGAATCAGAACACAAATTAAAGGAACAATTCAAATTACGATCTTTTGAGAATTTGATCCCGAGGGTTTAAGACAGAAATCTAACTTAGGAATATTTATAACTTACCAAAAATTTAAGTTTGTGTCGTAGGTTAGGTTAGTGAACTAGATCGTATAACCACACCCACACACACACACACACACACACACACACACACACACACTTCATAAATAATCCAATCTCTCAAATTCCAACAAATTATGATTATTCTTTCCTCCTTCTCTCTCTCCCTCCCTTCCTCCCTCCCTTTCCCCTTATTCCTCTCCCGCTAACCAAGATGGCCAGCTGAGTTACGCTTGGTCGTATGTCGGGAAAGGTGTAAAAATAGGACCCGATATATAAGGCTTCCTAATCCGTGGTAGTTTAAGATAGCAGCGAGCAGATGCGAGGAAGGTGATATCTGGTCATAAGAACGGGCGGTGTGATGAGGGTATGATAGCTGCTAGTGGTATGATGATAGTGATGATATAATGTGTATGATGAGGGTATGATAGCTGCTAGTGGTATGATGATAGTGATGATATAATGTGTATGATGAGAGTATGATAGCTGCTAGTGGTATGATGATAGTGATGATATAATGTGTATGATGAGGGTATGATAGCTGCTAGTGGTATGGTGATAGTGATGATATAATGTGTATGATGAGGGTATGATAGCTGCCAGTGGTATGATGATAAAATGATGGTATAATGAGTCTGATGAGAGTATGGTGGCTGCTAGTGGTATGATGATAAAATGATGGTATAATGAGTCTGATGAGAGTATGGTGGCTGCGAGTGGTGATAAATGGTAGACCTGGTATGATGAAAAAAAAAATGATATAACGAGAATGACGAAAGTCAGGTGATGATATGAAGAAGGCCTGTTATGATGATAAAGTGATGATATATCGAGTATAATGAGTTAGGTTAGGTTAGGTTAGGTTAGCTTAGTTTAGTTTAGATTAGATTATTTTAGAGAAAGTTAAGTTAGTTTAGATTAGGTGAAAAAGTCCTAACCCTTTAGATTAGAGCTTCAACACAGCCCAAGCCACGACGTACAATGCATCTCCCTCAATCCCTTTAATAAAAAATAACAAGTAAAAAAAATAACCAACAATAACTTAACAATCACTTACAAATACAATACAGCAATAACCAAGAGATCAATTCCCACTCAGGTAAGATCTTAAGTCCCACTCAAGTAAGATCTTAAGTCCCACTCAGGTAAGATCTTAACTCCCACTCAGGTAAGATCTTAAGTCCCACTCAAGTAAGATCTTAAGTCCCACTCAGGTAAGATCTTAACTCCCACTCAAGTAAGATCTTAAGTCCCACTCAGGTAATATCTACGACCAAATAAAAGTGAGATATTTATAACGTGAGACATCTATCTAAAGTAATGTTGGAACCGTGTGAATGATCGTATTAAACTGTATTAAATGATTACAGGAGAGATTAAGTCACAAACGTGGATTAACTTGTACTATCCGGTGACGTGTGGGAGGATATGTTGTTATAATGATTAAATTTATATATGTGTGTGTGTGTGTGTGTGTGTGTGTGTGTGTGTGTGTGTGTGTGTGTGTGTGTGTGTGTGTGTGTGTGTGTGTGTGTGTTCTATGCGTAGGTTCTGTGCGTGTAGGTATAAAACTCTATGGTGTTCTCCCGCCACAGTTCACTTACTCTTCTTTATCACCCCTTCTCACTTCCCTTCGCTCTTAGAGTTCTTGCCTTCTTCCCCTCTTTCGTCATATATTTGTTCTTTATTCCCTATCCCAATTTTATTTCCTTATTTTCTCTTTATTTTTATTTTTTTTCTGATTTTACGTTTTTGTTTTTGTTTTTCACATTAATATCACCTTTATTTTATGCTTAATAGGGATCATTTTTATGTGCAGCCTTTAGTCTCTCTCTCTCTCTCTCTCTCTCTCTCTCTCTCTCTCTCTCATCACCTCGCTATTTACAGAATATCTACGAATATAGACAGACAGCAGGTACCAATGAGACGCAACAAAATGACAGAAAGAACAATGACAGGAAGAGAAAGGGACGGACACACACACACAAGGCGTGATGCCGATACGTCTACTCAATGTGATCTATACACGAATGTAAACAAGACGGATAAAAACACCATTAAAATCCGACTCTGAATCCGACTTACTTAAATCCTAAAACAACACCTTATCTGTATCTGTATCGTTTTAATTCACTATTAAAGGATAAATAAATAAGGTTAAAAACGCAGGGTGAATCCGTCTTACAATCCGACTTATAGCCAGTTATAATAACAACACAGGGAGCGTGTCAGAATCGTTCCCACCTTCAATCCGAGACTTACAAAAACGATGCACCTCTGCTACTCCTTCTTCCCTTCACACAAACACAAACTTTCTCTCTCTCTTTTATCGTGAAATTGTTACACTTTATCTGTATT